CCCTGCCCTCAGGGAGAGTCCCCTAGTTTCCAAAGAGACACACGCGGAGCAGAGGCCGAGGGAGTGAGGCCTAGAGACGACCCCTGGGCTGGGGTGGGTGGGCATTGAGAGCGCCGGGTGACTTCTGAGGGCAGCGGCCCTGAGCTTGTGGGGCTGAGTCAGAGGTTCTCAGGAGGCACGGCACGGACGGGTCCTGATCCTCTGTCTCCCGTGGAAGGTGGCAGAGAGGCCTCACCACTTCTGGGCATCTCCTCAGAGCCTAGCCCTGAGGCCAGTGGACCTCCAGGCGGGCTTTCCTCTTTCAGAGCCCAGAATGAGCATCAGGACCATCTCCCTGGCCATCCAAGTGGTCAAGAACACACTCTCCGACACCCGGTCCAAGGTAACAGGGCGGGGAGACCCAGAAAGGGGGAGTGTGCTGGGGCTCTGCCGGGCAAGTGGAGGGAAGTCAGGGCGCCTTCTTGCATCAGCTGCAGCCTGCTTGCCACCCCTCCCCTCCAGCTCTGTGAGTGGAGGTGAGGCTGCCTTCTCAAGGAAGGCACTTTGATGGAAAACCTACCCTTCCAGCCAGTCCTGAGTGGGGCTGGAGAAGAATAAGTCTCCTCGAAGCTGTGGCCCCTCTCCCAAGACCTTCCCTGTCACCAAGAACCTGGAATTTTCCTCGGAAGGGGCTCTGACACTACCCTGGAGAGAGGAGAGGCCAAAGACACCCAGTGTCAGCCCAAGCTGCTTGGCTAGCTAGGTGTTTTGTAAGGTCATTACCACACTTGAGAAAAGCAACTCTGCAAATAAAGGCTAAAACCCCCAATCTTGGCCACTGCAGCCTCGGCCCCCTGGAGAGTAGCTTGGCTTCTGGACACGGCCCCTGCGGCGGACCCCTCATGTCCTGGGGTGCAGTTCAGGATGGTGAGGGTCTGCACAATCCAGGAAGGGAACAGGCTGCTCGGTCTTGAGTCTGAGGCAGAGCTGTCTTCAGTCCCTGGAGGATGTCAGGGGCAGAGGGAACAGGCTTGTTCTGTGTCGTCCCCTCATGTGAGCCCTGGGGAGCCCGAGAGAAGAGGCAGGCGGTTCTCACCAGGGCCGCCTGAGGACGGAGCAGCCCCACCGAGAAAGCAGTGTGCTCATGTCTCTGAAGGGCACAGATGAGGCTCCTGGGTAGACCTGCTGCTGAGCCGGGTCCCCTGCATGAGGCAGGCGGTGGTGCACAGAGTGGGCAGCATCCAGGTAGCCCCAGAGACCCCTTCCAGACCACAGCACCCTCAGATCTTAGCTGTCTCATGTTACAGGATTGGGTGCCGGCGGAACCTCTGGCCCCCAGCATGTCTGTGCTCTGGCCTCTTGGGTGAGGATGGCCGTGCTCCGCATGATCGGGCAGCTGGCCCTGTCCGGATTCCAGGACAGGATCAAAGGCTGGGGCCTGAAGTACGTGTCTGTGCAGCTGACCTTGTCCACCTACAAACTGGTGAGTGACGGCGGAGTGGCTGGGCTTTAGAAATGGTTCCCACTGCGCTAAGGAGAGAGCACTGCTCAATGAACCTGCATGCATGTACAAGCGCACACACACACAGCAAGCTGCCAGGGGTCTAGAAAACAGTGAAACCCATGCACAGTGCTGGGCTTCCGGGAGACTCAGTATCTGGGTGTCAAGCCTCTTGCGGGAAAGTAAACCACAGCTGAGACCATGGCAAGCCCCTGCCGGCCCACAAGCAGGCACTCCTTGGTTCTGTCTTCCAGACCAACTGCAGGGACAACTTTGATCAGAGGGGCCTAGAGGAGAAGATGGTCCACAAGGTCCCCATGGACACCGTGAGGATCATAACCTCTTCTGTCAGTGGGATGAGCAATGTGAGTTGGCCCACTGGGGCTGATGGCTCATGTCTGTGCTGTGCGAGGCTGTGCGGGGAGGATGGCACAGGCCCAGAGTTCTGCACTGTTGCTTCGCCCATTCCCACTACCTGGGAGGATGGGCGGACCCAGGTCTTTCAATTACCTGAGCTCGTTTTTCAAGATTCACTTCCTTCATGGAACCTTATTACCTTCAGCAGGGCAGTGCTTGGCACACAGTAGGCCTAATACGTATCACTTGACTTATTGCTTGAAATGCATCCATCACCTTAAAGCCCCTCAGTCCAGGGGTGTGTGTGTGCCCGCGGGCACATGTATTCAGTCACTCAGTTATGTCCAATTCATTGTGGCCCCATCAACTGTAGCCCACCAGGCTCCTCTGCCCATAGAATTTTCTAGGCAAGAATACTGGAGTGGAGTGCCATTTCCTACTCCGGAGGATCTTCCAGACCCAAGGATCAAACCTGTCTTCTGCATTCGCAGGCAGATTCTTCACCACCAGAGCCGCTCGGGGAGCCCATGCATATGTATGCATGTGTGTATATGTGTGAGTGTGCAAATAAGTGACTCTAGGGGTTATATTTCACAAACACGAGTTCCAACTCTGTGTGAGGCATCCGGGCATACACAGGAAGGCTCAGTGTGACCCCACGCTGTTCACAGGCTTTAGGGGAACAAATGGATGAACTGTTTGAGCAGCTGCCTCAGGATCTGAATCTGGTATCCCAAGTGGAGAGAAGTAGGGGAGTCAGGTCCCTGATGTGCCCACAGGCACAGTCATCTGAATGGCAGGGCCTGGTCCAACAGGATCCCACAGAGGCTCCCTTTGGCCCTTAGCCCCCAGACCTTAAGTTCCCTTGTCATATATCCACTGGGAAGATCCCAGCTCCAGATCTGGCCTCTCTCACACTCATCCTTTGCCCTCGTCATCTCCATGAGTAGGGTTTCCGCTCGCTTGCCCCTGTGGTCCTTCCCTCTTTTACTTTCCTTCCTGGCTCAACCTATCCCTTGGCAACTCTTCACACATTCATGTGCACTTTGGCTCCTCCAGTTGCTTAAAACCCCAGTTGGACAATCTCTCCAGGGCTGAACTTCTAAAGCAGAGAAAATGGATAATTAAACCTAATTGAGCCAACTAAAAGCATTGATTACTGAAAACGGGCCTAAAGTGCAAGGAGATGTTACCATTTGGGAAGAGATTTAAAGCCTGGAAAATGGGAAATGGGGACAGATGTCCCTCTAGCCTTCAGCCAGGGCCTGCCCGGAACACTCCTGCTGCTTTCCTGCTGTCAGAGTCCTCGAGCCCGTTCTTCAGGAGTGGGTACATGGGACTCCACGGTCAAACCCAAGAGCCCATTTTTTTGCTTTACAGTGTGAAGGGACAGTGGGACCAGACTCCAAGTAGTCCTGCCCTCAGCCTTGCCCAGATGACGGCAGTCATCCTGTGAACTTTGAGGAGAGCATCTGATGAGCTGCCTTAGAAAACCTAGGGCTTCTCTGTCACTGTAGAGACTGCTTTTTTTTTTTTTTTGGTAGAGGCTTCTTTTGTTTATCTCTTCCATTTATCCAGATATCTATCTGTTAGTGCCTTGCATGTGCCACGCACAGCTAGGTTTATAAATCTTGAGAATTGAGTGGAGGTGGGAGGGCGGGAGCAGACCCAGAAGTAAGGAGGTCCAGTCACACCTGGGCCAGCAGGAATTGCTGTGTGGCCAGCTTACCCACCCTGAGTGGGCACATAGCTACTGGGGTGGGACCGGCAAACTTGGATCAGAAGTGATTCTCCCCAGGGGTGACTCTGTGAAGTCTGGTCTTTTTTGTTGTTCAGTCGTGTCTGCCTCTTTGGTCTTTGGGGGTTTGCTATAGGAAGAACGGGGTTTCAGCTGAACCCCCTGACCAGGCAGGGGAGAATGGAGAGGAGCTCTTTCTGGGTTTAGATCGGTCGTTCTTAGCCTTTCTAGGATCATAGTTTCTTCAGAAATATAAGACACCTGTAGACGTTCTCCTTAGTGCTGTGCTGCGCTTATCGCTCAGTCGTGTCCAACTCTGCGACTCCAAAGGCTGTAGTCTGCCAGGCTCCTCTGTCCGCGGGGATTCTGCAGGCAAGAATACTGGAGTGGGTTACCATGCCCTCCTGCAGGGATCTTCCCAACCCAGGGATCAAACCCAGGTCTCCTGCATTGCAGATGGATTCTTTACCATCTGAGCCACCAGGGAAGCTTTCTCCTTAGTGTCAACTACAAATTGGCACTTGCCGTGGGCACTTGTCATCTACCTACCTCTGCAGTGATTAAGTCATCTGCTGCTGTAGCTGCTGACCTTCCCTACCACCTGCAGAAATGAGGCACTTTATGCTTTGGTAGAGGAGGGGTGGAAACTGGCAGGATAGGTCTTCAGATTTTTTTCAGGGGCTGATTTTATGAGCCCAATTCTTGAATCTCCCCATATCTAGAAAAACACTAAAATCCTTCATGATGACAGTTGTTTCTCATGACTAGCAGAAGCCTCATGAGACCAACAGAAACCTGAAAAAATATGTGCTTGATTGCATATATTACCCTTTCACCAGAATCACCTATATACTGTCCTTACCCCTAATCTCTTTAGAGCAGTTTCTCAGAGCTATCTGAGGTGCTGTCTCCCAGGGTACAGTCCTCATTTTGCCCCAAATGAAATTTAACTTGCAACTCACATGTTGTGCATTTTTTTTAAGTCAACGTTAGAAAACTATGCATGCACTGTTTATAATAGCCAGGACATGGAAGCAACCTAGATGCCCATCAGCAGACGAATGGATAAGGAAGCTGTGGTACATATACACCATGGAATATTACTCAGCCATTAAAAAGAATTCATTTGAATCAGTTCTAATGAGATGGATGAAACTGGAGCCCATTATACAGAGTGAAGTAAGCCAGAAAGATAAAGACCATTACAGTATACTAACACATATATATGGAATTTAGAAAGATGGTAACGATAACCCTATATGCAAAACAGAAAAAGAGACTCAGATGTATAGAACAGACTTGTGGACTCTGGGAGAAGGCGAGGGTGGGATGTTTCAAGAGAACAGCATTGAAACATGTATATTATCTAGGGTGAAACAGATCACCAGCCCAGGTTGGATGCATGAGACAAGTGCTCGGGCCTGGTGCACTGGGAAGACCCAGAGGGATTGGGCGGAGAGGGAGGTGGGAGGGGTGATCGGGATGGGGAATACATGTAAAACCATGGCTGATTCTTATCAATGTATGACAAAAACCACTACAATATTGTAAAGTAATTAGCCTCCAACTAATAAAAAAAAAAAGAAAACTATGCATGCATGTACGTTTTTCTTCTTCTTTTTTTTTTTTTGCCATGCTGTGTGTTAGACGGCATCTTAGTTTCTTGACCAGGGATTGAACTCACACTCCCTGCAGTGGAAGCTTGGAGTCTTAACCACTAAACCACCAGGGAAGTCCCTGCATAAACATCTTGTATAGTCAATCCCTGGAAGTGCAACCTTGGTTTCTGAGTCTTTTGAGAATCTCTCCCTTAAACCTGGAGTCTGAGCCTCTGCCAGGGCACTGCCTGCCAGGAACAGATGACTCAGCTCTCTCTTCAAGGAGGAAAGCTCCTCCATCAGAGAGGCTGCAGGTCTCTACCTGTCCCTTCCAGCCCTGGGCAGGAATCTAGGATTGACCCCTGGATTGGCGCTGCTGACCCCTGAGGCTGACTTGGGGATGAACCTCCCAGAAGCAAGAGGACTTCTGAAAGCAAGTCCCTGCTTCTGAAAGGAAAGCCAATAAATAAAGTCTGTGTCCAGCCTCGCCTATCATCTCTTTCCTCCACTTCCCTTCTGGTCCCCTCGCTGGGTCAGCTTATGCTGGAAGGCTCCATGAAGGGAACACCCTAAAGGTAACCCATGTGTGGGAAAGTGAGGGACAGACAAAGGTGAATTTTTCATTTTCCCTCTGCATTTTTTTTACATTTTTTTTTTATCCTTGAGATAAATCCTTTTCCCTTCATTCTTCCAGTCTTGCCTGGCAGCAGCCTCACCTCAAAATTCTCTTGGTAGGAATGGGCCTGTGACCTCTCCCCACCCACTCCCCTTCCCTCTGTCAGCCAGACAGACTTTCATTGCAAAGGGGCCCTGACCTCCCCTCCCTTCTGAGAGCCTGCTCCACCTGCCGGCTTTCTCATCTACACAAATAAGATACCTGCAGGCTTTCTTATCTACACAAATAAGACACGTCCCAGTGGGGCCCTTCTACCTGCCAACTGGCTTTATTTTCTCCTTCTGCTTCCCGTCTGAACATCAGCTTCCTTCTTTCGCTTGTGTCCCCAGTGGTGGCAGCAGCGTCAGCGGGAACTCCCAGAGCTGACAGATGACAGGAGGGGATGAAGGGCAGCCACCAGCTTCCAGGGGCTGCACTTGTAGCCTCCCGACTCAGAGACACATGCTGGCTGCCCTCCACACGTTCAGGCACGCAGGTAAATCTACAGCTGGGATGAGCTGGGGCTCGGGGAATATTGGGACTCCAGTCATTGAGGAGTGCACAGACTAAAGCAGAGGGCAAGGAGCCAGAACTGACGCAGACCCGCTGTGACCATCTAGGCCTGGCCCAGCTTCCCATCTTGGTCAGGGTCTGCTTCCCTCCCACTCCTGAGCTGTCCCTCCTGCCTCAGCTGTTTCCAACCAAGGAGGCGCAAAGGACACAAGGGCTGGGGAGAACTCTGGGCTCCCCTCTTAACCTCTCTTGGAGAAAGAAAGGGCACCCCACTCCAGTCCTCTTGCCTGGAGAACCCCCATGGACGGAGGAGCCTGGTGGGCTACAGGCCACGGGGTCACAAAGAGTCAGACACGACTGAGCGACTTCACTTTCACTTTCTTTCACTTGACCTCTCTGCCTTTGGAGACTGAAGTTCCCTTTGAGATGCGTTGACTAGATGAGAACACTTCTTGCGTGTAGCCTTGGAGGGGAGGGAGCCATAGACAGGCTGAGGCTCCTGGTGATAAGAAGTGGCCCCCGTTGCCAAGGGGTCCTATCCTACCTGTATGTGGGATTCTGAGCACTGCCCCACTCATGCATTGAAGACCACTGCCAGAAGGGACCTAGCCCAGACGGGATCCAGTCTCCCTTCCATACCACATCACCATGGCAACCGTCACCAAAGAGACCCAAGTGCTCATGGAGGACCAACCCATGAGGACAGGGAAATATGCTCTGTTAATTCCAGGAACTTTGGGGGCTGGATTGTACTCCGCCTACCAGGGTTGGGTGGGAAGATGGGAATAATGCCCTCCTTTCCCATCTCCAGCAGTTCTCTGCCTCGCATGGAAAAACTTGAACCTGGGCTTAGCAGACCCTTACAGATCTGATCCCTTCATACTGGGAGAGGCAGAGCTGGGATTCAGCTACCCAGGGTCTGAGAGCTACCTCCTGTCCTTGGCTCAGCTCTGATTAGAACCCTGAAGAATCTGGACAAAGGAATCCTGACTTTCGACTCTCTCTGTGACCCAGCATTTTCCTGCCCTGGGTTCTGAGGAAGCCTATCACCCTCTACTCCCCACCCTAGCATCTTCTGATGTCACAGGCAAATGAGGCCAGATCAGAGGCAGCGGGTGTTTATTTCCTGTCACTGCACCTGCTCCAGCTCTATGTCCCCTCGGGCTTGGGATGTTGCTGTTGCCATGCCAACAACATTTACTCTCAGAGGGGCTGTTACTGGGCTGCAGGCCCCTTTGTGCCAGCCTCAATATCACCAATAATATGACTTGCAGGAAGCGAAAGCCCAGCCCCCAGTACCTTTATTCCATATAAGAATCCCCCTGCTGCTCCCAGCCTTAGTTTACTCATCTGCATGGTCCAATATGGGAACCTCCGTTTGCAGCCCTCCCCTGGGCTGCCCAGGACTGGTCCTTCACTCTCTCGGGCTCTGGAGTACATAGTTAGAGATGTCTGTGACCAGTAGTAGCCATCAGGCTGCTTTGCTCAGAGGTAACTGTCTACAGCCCAGGGACACCAGCCTTTCCCGGTCCCTGTAACTGACCCTAACCTGTCAGTACTGCTGTGCCCTGACACTGCCCCTTCTTTTTTCCCTTATGTTATGACCTTTTTGACTTAACTGTGGAGTGACCCCCCCTTAACCTTGACTCTAGAGCTGATTACTTCCTGCAGTGGTCTTCTCTCCTTTTCTTCCTACTAGTCCTCCTGCAGGTCTTACTAGTAGCCCAGAACCACCACCTGGTGAGAAGCTAGCTCTGCACTCCGCGCACCCCACCGCCTTCTGTCCAAGTAAGCAACAAAGCAGCGGACAGAGGAGGAGAGAGCCTCCTGGATGCCTTCTCCTGCGGGAATAGGGCCACAGCGTTCAAACCCCCCCACAGACATGCCATAGCTTCCACTGCTTCCGAGAGGCATGCTCCCAGGAGGCACTGCTCTCCAACGGAACAGCAAGAGTGTAGCCCAGGGGAGAACTACTGTGAGGTGTGGGGCAGGGCTGCTGTAGGGCCTAGGCAGGATGCTGCCAGGAGAAGCTGCTGCAGGGCTGGAGGGGTGCTGGCATCCAGGTACCTCCAGTAAGGTTCTGGGAGGGAGATACAAAGGCTGGAGAGAGAGGAGTCACTGTTTGGATTGCCCTGAGAAGCTGAGTCACAGTCCAGGACCAGCTGGCCCCTCCTGAACTGGCTGCTCCTGAACTTGCAGACTCTCTCTTCACCCAACTGACCCTACTCAACACTGCAACACACGACTCAGTGCAGCCTGTTGTGAGGGGAGAGATGAAACCGGTCTCAGCCCTTGCCTGCAGGCCAGCAAACTCCAGCCCTGACCCTGCTCTCCGCAAGGCTGCAGCGGTGGCCCCTCTGCCTGGCGCTCACCCAGTTCGTCTCAAGTGAGACAGCGCCCCCCAACCTGCAGATCTGAACCCCTCCTCTGTGCTCCTTCAACTCAGAGCCCTTCCTCCCGTTGGCCCCGTAAGTTCAGAGCCCCACCCTACCTGAGCCTTGCCCACT